TGTACCTTTAGCATGAACCCAGGTATCTGGAAAATGGTTGGCGTGTGACAATATGCATTGAGTAGGCCAGGCCTTAACAATGTCTCAGATGTTGCTGTCATTGTCCTCCTGCTTAGAGCGCTTTGATGCTTTTCTTGTCCCAAGCTTGGTCCTTGGAACAAGAACAACTTATTTTTTATTTGCTTAACTCTAGATATTGAACTTCTGTGTGGGATCTCAGTAAATGAACCAAGAATATGCTTATAAGGCATGCAGACACATCCTCAGTGGCTGTCAGTTCAGCAGAACAAATTAATTAGCTGAAATTATCCTTCTTAGTATGGAAGAAAAACCAGCCTCTCCTTAGTAAATATGCTTTGCTAGTTATAGGATAATAATCCTGAGTGCAGCTATGCCAGCACCTTCCCTTCGGCCATCTGGAGCAATGTTCTTGCATGGTGATGCCTCATCAGCTCCTGTCCTCGTTTCCTTCCTGGTCTTTATCTCTTATCCCCTTTCCTTGCCTCCATAATAGGATGATGTATATTGCTCTCTTCCCATCTTCTTTTCTTCCTCCCTAACAGTTCTTAGCTTCATATGTAGTTTTTTGCTCTTTTATATCTGTCTGTGTTAAAATTTACATATTTATTGGGATTTTTAAATAAAGGAAAGTATAAGGAAACAGAAATAGCCTCTCACACTGATAATAAATTCCTACTGATGGTATGAGGAAATCATATATACACATGGTTCAAAAGTTAATAAACAAAACCTATGTAAGATAGTAAAGCATCCTTTTCTTGCCCATTCACACTTCAAGCACCGCTACCCGGTGTTAATTACAGTTAACATTTTCTTGTGTAGTTTTTCATTAAATGATTTGGATACACACCAGCATATAAAAGTCAAAATGAATGAATGTATGTGTTTTCTATTTATGTAGAAGCATCCCAAGAAAACGGCTCTGAACCTATCTTCTCTCACTTAATGTATCTTAGAGATCTCTCCATAGGCCCCCGCTCTGCCTTACAAAACATCCATCTTATTCTTTGTAACTGTTTCATTGTCTTCCATTGTGCTGATGGTCTCACTTATCATGCGAGTTTTTTGTTGGTGGGCATTAACATTTTTCCCTGAACTTTTACAGTTTCAATAATATAACTGTGACTATTCATATACATACATCTTTGAACACTTCTGCAAGGGATGTATACATCTTACATTTTGATGCTTATTACTAAATTGACCTCCAAAAACCAAATTCGGTTTCACTAATTTAGATGCTATACCAGAGTGTTTTCTGTCAAACTTTTCTGATTTTCTTCAATGCAATAGAAACATTTTATCTCATTGTTTTAATTTTTCTTTGATTTTGAGTGAAGATAATGACCATTTTGAACGGACAGGCAATCTGTAGTTTATCTGTGAACTGCCTGTTCCTATCCCTTGGCCCTTCTTCTGTTTGGTGGTTTTTTCCTCATTGGTTTATGTGAAGTCCTTACCCGCTTTCTGGGACATTTCCTGAGTCTCAACCTAAAATAGTCACTGAGCTACTGAATCTCACATCAGTGTGTTTTAATCCTCTGCCTGGGATTATAGTTGGATATTTTTCTCACTTGTTTATGGGTTGCCTTTCTCTAGAACATAAACTCTAAAGGAGCAAGGATCTCATCTATCTTGTTCACTACTATAGCCTATCATGTAGATGCAAGCCTGGCTCATAATAGACACTCAGATATTTAATGAATAAATAAATGAAAATGGAATTAGCCTTTGTGTATCCTAAACATTCATTAACAGTTCATTTTTAAATTTTATGGTATTTTTTCCAAATGAAAGGTTTGAATTTTCATGCAGCCAAATTTATCAGTCTTTTTCTTTTTATAACTTCTGGAACTTCCTCACTCCAAGTTTATAAATAAATTCACCTGTGCCGCCTTTGAAAACTTATATTCCCATCGTCTAGGCTCAAATCTTAGACTTCTATAAAATTTATTTAATCAAAGTTAAGGATCCAGTTTTGATCTTTCTTACAGTAGTTGGCTAGTCCATCATCATTCATGAAACTCTGTCTCCTGCACTGGTTTAGCACAACAACTCTATGATAAACTACATCTCCATATGTATCACGTCTCTTCTTAGACTCGAATTATTTTAATTACTATAGTTTTATGACATGTTTTTTCTTCAACTTTTAAATTCAGGGGTTCATGTGCAGGATGTGCAGGATTGTTACATAGGTAAACATGTGCCATGGTGGTTTGCTGCACAGATCAACCCAATACCTAGGTTTTAAGCCCAGCATCCATTAGCTCTCCCTCCTCCTACATCCTCCACTCCAACAGGCCCCAGTGTGTGTTGTCCCCATCCACGTGTTCTCATATGATGTCTTTCAATATTTGATGAAGCTGGTTCTTTCTCATTTTTTTGTTTTTCAGGATTTTTTTATGGCTACGATTACATTTTTTTTCTCAGACAAGTTTCATGATCATTTTGCCAAGTCTGAAAAAATTATCTTAAAAATTATTTTAAAGTGACATGTCATAATATGCATATACATATATATATATATAAATACTTTTTTTGTCTTTGTGTCATACTCCAGAACTAAGGAGAGTTTAGTTTGTTCAGAGTTCATTGTATTAAACTCAAAATGGGCCAGATACCAGAAGTTGGTCCTTGGAGAAATAGGGTTAATCAATGTGAGAATAATCAGCCTCCTTTGGCAAGAAGGGTTTAGATTTGTGCTTGGGTTACCACATATTCTGCTAAAGCTTTTGAATGTGAATGGGTCTTATAGTTCTGGACGTGACTGTTTATACTTGAGTATGATGAACCACCATGAAGATATCCTCAATTCCAACCATTTATTTTGAATGCATCCTGCAGAAGATTATTAGATACAAGAAAATGTAAGCCCCGGTCCTTATTTTGCTACTAATAAGCTATTTAGCTCTTGACAAGTTACTAAAACTTGTCTCTGATCCCGTTTCCTCATCTGTAAGGTGAGGATGATATTGCTCATTCATTTACCACATAATACTTTGTTTGCCTGCCTACCTTTGCAATTGTTGTTAGGATCAAATAATACAATTCTGGTAAAACTTATATTAGAAAATATTAAGGTTTTCTGGTTAAACATTGCACATCAAAAGCATTTCATTTGCTTATGTTTTATCACTCTTTCCCCATATACCACTAAAAATACAGGAATTTTTTAAAAAAGCCATAAGCCAACAAGAGTAAAAGAACAGACTAGTAGACTGCAGCAAAGATACAAGCCAAAAATTTAAATCTGGAACTAGGTGGTCAGTGGTAACTGATTTAGTGGAGCAGGATAAGCCAGAACTCATTTGCAAGAAGCAGTAAGACAGAAGTTGGTTAAGTTCAGGAATCGGAGGCACCTGGTACCTTTGAAGCCTAGACTTGAAAACAGGAGGATGAATTAGAAACTTGAATGAGGAGCTATAGGATTTCTAGATCCCTCTCTCACCACACTGAATGTTAAAAAAAGAAATGTTGTAAGAGAATGAGGCTGGGGGTGTACTATGAGAGGAAGTTGGGATGGGGTGGAGGTAGTAATAGAGACATCAATCTTTTTCCATTGTAGGTAGTCAAAAGACGATACAGGTTTTTAAACATTAAGAAATGAATAAACATGCATACTATTAAGAAGAAGATAATTACTGACAAAACCACATGCAGGAATTGAAAATGATTGTGGAGACGAGGGAGAGGACAGGAGCTTCTTTCACATCGGTATACTTGGTAGTACTGATAAGGAGTACTAATACTTGGTAGACTAAAAAACGATCCTGTTGTACAAGAGTGAGACTTGAGCATAAAACTTGGCAGCTAGGTGCATAATAAATGCTTATCGAGTGGGCAAATATTATTCACTGATTCAAAAACTCAAATATTATTCAATGATTTCCCCTTGGTGTTATGTAGGAATTAGAGTTAAGTAATGTGCTTTAGGGATTGATGAGCAATTTATTTGGAATATCACAGTATAAGAAACAAGTCTTTTTATTTTGGGGGACTGTGGAATATTAGAGGGTCTTTGAACAAAGTTAATAAAATGTCAACCTGAACTCTGAGTTTTTTGTATACTTTTCATCAAGGAAGTTTGGGAGTTAAAACAACAATAGCAACCTTTTATTGGTATGTGTTGATTAAGACACAGTATTTTCTCTACCAGAAAGTCTCTCTGACTCAGGCACTGGTATATGACTTGGGCCTAATAATTTTCTTCTCTTTGCATTTTTTTTGTCTTTGAAATGGGATTAAAATTTATTCTGCCTTAGGGTAGACAGTTGGGTATTAGAGAAATCCTGGGATTGGTTCTTTGGTATAATACTGTAAACATAGTAACTGGGTCTGGAAGTTAAGTTGCATCTTCCCAGAAGATAAGCAGACTGTTGGAAGCTAAAGATGTAGTTATAATAATGTGATTTATATGAAGCAAACTATCTCCTCCAGAGATCTCAAAGTTCTGCTGGTATTAAGAAGTAACTAACCAATAATAGGTGATTGCTTATTCTCCAGGATAGAGAATGTTTTATTAAGAGAATTGTACTACAAGATTGAGTCCAATATTTATTTGTAAGTTGCTATGAATTTATTAGGAAAGAAATGCTAGAGAAATACCAAGAAATAGTATTGTGTGATATTCCTGAAGGAACTAATTTGATTTGTTTTTCTCTGTAAGACATAGATGAATTTGACTTACATTGTATTTTTCTCTGTTTGTGTTGTACCTATTGGTCTAGTATCTTGACCATGCACATTGGCTTTTAATCTAGCGATTTTACACTCACAGAGCAATTTTGTTTGACTAAGCCACAGTTATTTGCTACCTACGTATATAAGAAAATAATTTCACATCCAAATAGTACTTAAGTAACAGTTTCAAAAATGAAATATTGTACCAGTTGAGGTTAAATATGTAATTGATTTGGGTGTCTTCTATACAACCATGTTAATTGAAAACCATATTTAAAAACTTTTATTGTTCCTAGAGTGAATTACTGGAACTTAAGCGGCAGCAGCAAGAGGAAGAAAGAGCCAAAGTCCACCAGACTGAACACAGGAGGTATAACTGGCTGATAAAATAAGCATCCTTGGTTAAATCAATTACCTACAAAGTTTGTACAGTGTTTTAGGAAAACATTACAGTAACATTATTATTATGGTTTTGGAATGTGTATTACATTTAAATCTGTTGTTGAGATGTGATATATGTATGAGGTATGCCAGCTGCTACATATATGAGCACACACACGTGTACATATGTGCATGCACACAAATATCCAATTTTCTTGGATAGGTGGCATAAACTCACATTAGGAAACTGAATCATGTTCTTAAGCTGTGTGTTCAATTAGGGTATGTTTAATTTTCCTTCCATGGGACAGAGCATCCTAATTTGAGATGATGCTGTACCATTTATAGACTTAATTAGAATAATTACGTTAATATAGATGGTCAGATACCCATACTTGAGTACAAAAGCTCAGACAAAAACTCATTAAAGTTATTTAATATTGACAAATACATTAGAGAAAAAAATCTTAGAACCATTAAGTAATTTTCAAATAGTCTGAGCACTCTCCATCTTAATCCTAATGTCAGACTTAAGAATACCTAGTAAAATATCATGTTACTGTTGGGACAGTGCCAATAAGCACCATATTGTCTGCCATTATTATGCTAAGATTTCTAGGGGGTACATGGGTTGTTGGAGTTCGTTAGGGGTGTACTTGAGTATCTTGGAGAAGAATGTAAGGGTTTTCACAATGTAAAGGAACAAATTCTTTTGATAGTGAATGGCTTCTTTTATGTATTTAACCTTCTCACTGTCACTAATGTGTGTTTTTAAGTTATGGTGGTTTCATTTTCTAAATGAGAGACTTTAAAAAGCGTTCAGTGGAAGTGCCCTATTCTGATGGTGCCTCTAACTGTGGGCGGCGGGCTCACATTTATTTGGCTGGACTATGTTGTTCCCATAGTCCAGTCAAAATAGTTTTAAAACTACAAATGTGAGTTATATATTTTTTCTCATTTAAGGAAATATCAAAACTCTGATATGTTGGTTAGGCTATATTGTTGGATAAGATGGTGGTGGGGAAGGATGCTAACTATTTATTATAAAGTAGGCCATAATTTAGTCATTTTATTACTATTTTCTTTCCTTCCTTCCCTCCTCCTCTCTCTCTGTCTCTCTCTCTAATTTGAGACAAAGTCTCACTCTGTTGCCTAGGCGGGAGTGTAGTGGTGGGATCTTGGCTCACTGCAACCTCTGCCTCCCAGGTTCAGGTGATTCTCCTGCCTCAGCCTCCTGAGTAGCTGGGATTACAGGCACATGCCACCATGCCCGGCTAATTTTTGTATTTTTAGTGGAGATGTGGTTTCACCTGTTGGCCAGGCTGGTCTTGAACTCCTGACCTCAGGTGATCCGCCCGCCTCGGCTTCCCAAAGTGCTGGGATTACAGGCATGAGCCACTGCACCTGGCCTATTTTTTCTTTAAAATACTTTCTGTTTAAAAAAACACTTGATATTGTATTTATAAACTGATTGCCAGTAGTAGCCAGTTATTTCTCTGGACTTCTGAGGATTAATTGAACTGTAAGACTTTAAGCATCTTAAACAGTGATGTGTCACATTAATAGGCTCCATTGCTAAAATATTTATCTTTGATGGGCACCTAATAAACACCCAAGCTATTTGATTAGAGGTGGAAAAGATAACTTTTTTGTTATAGGAATCTTGGCTCTCATTCTTTATTTCCGTATTATTGAATACCTAAATATTGGTGGGGCTGTTTAATTTCTATATGTTATTTTCTCTTTCTTTTGATTCTACTTAAATAGATCCAATAAATGTATAGCTCCAAATTTAATCCAAGAAGATATTTTTCTAGATAATAAACTCAGTAATTAGTTTTGAAGTCTCTGATCAAGTTATTAAATATATATTTTATGCTCTTCATCAATTTTTGAAAAGAGCTTACATTTGTATTGCCTTCAAAGCGTGCCATGAGCTTTCCCATGTTATCATGTGAGACTACATATTCAATGAACTCTTAATAAAATAGCCGTGTCCATTCTTACTCAAGGCAACACCACAAGCTATATAGTATGTGTGTAGGGGATGTAAATTAGGTTTTCTCCAGAGGCACAATTTTATTGGCATCAAAAAGACAACGTGCTTTCTACAGTTTAAAAGTTCACATTGCAGAAAACTCAACTCTGAGTGTTATAATAGAAAGCTGTGAGATTCCTGACAAGCTTTTCAGTGAACCTGTAATGAGCTTGGGTGCACCTGGACCTGACCCGTTGTAAGTATTTGAGTAGGAGAAGACAAGTAGAAACTCTGGCAAGAAACGAGAGAGCATGGGGGTCAAGGACTTGAAAGGATTTGGGCCGTGAGGTGAAAACTGGGATGAACTGAATTGATTTATTCAAACTTAAAGCATCCCTGAATAATAGTTTTTATCCAAATTAACCCTCAGAAGAAAACCCAGAGCACAACTTTGACCGCAGGAGCATGTATGCACTTTCTAAAACTATTAAACAAAAATAGAAATTGGTTCTTTTCCCTCCCATTTAGATTCTTGATAGGAATTGAGAGAAGCAAACTCTTTCCCCTCCATTATCTCTGGCTGACTCACACTGCCGTGGACATAGGCAAGTTGAGGACACTCCTATAGTATCAAAGAGTGCTCAACCACTCTGATGTCCTCTTAGTAACTGATGCTCAAAAGTGAATCACATTACCTTATGTCTTCGTGACAAGGCATCGGTCTTCGCAGGGTTTGAGTGAATTGAGAGCAATTGCCAGTGAGCTGTTTTGTAGTCTGCACTCATCATCCATGTTGTTTTCAGGGTGAAGAACGTGTGCCAGGAAGATTTGTTCATTCAGTAACTACATTATCAGGTCACGTTCCATAAAGGTTTAGTTCTAGGTCCCGGGAATAGGGCAAAACATGGCAGAAGGGGTCCCTGACCATATGGAAATTATAATCTGGAGGAGAGAAATGGAAGTCCACAATCAAAGGCACTGTTATTTCAGATGGTGATGTGTACTGTGAGGACCATATCACAAGGGGATGTTAAGGAAGAAACTGGAGGTGATAGGTTACTTAGGAAGGCCTCACTGCAGAGGTGCATCAAAGGAAAAGGAAGAACCAGCCACATAGAGACTGGGGGCAGATGCATGGACTTAGATGGCCTACGAACAGGGGAGAAGCAAGCGCAGAGGCTTTCAAGTGCAAATGAGCTTGGACTTTTTGAGTCCCAAGTGATGGGATTTTATGATTATTTTATTTTATTTTTGATTTTTATTATTTTTTTAGACAGAGTTTTGCTCTGTCACCCAGGCTGGAGTGTAGTGACATCATCTCCACTCACTGCAACCTCTGCCTCCCGGGTTCAAGTGATTCTCTTGCCTCAGCCTCCTGAGTTGCTGAGACTACAGGTGTCCATCACTGTGCTGGGCTAATTTTTGTATTTTTAGTAGAGATAGGGGTTTTGCCAGGTTGGCCATGCTGGTCTCCTGACCTCAAGTGATGCACCCGCCTCGGCCTCCCAAAGCGCTGGGATTACAGGCATGAGCCACCACACGTCACCACATGTGATGGGATTATAGTGAGTGAAGAAGAGAATAATACTCAGTGAGGGAGGAAAGGTAGGCAGGAGCAAGATAACACATTTTATAAGCCAGTTTTATTCTAAGACCAATGGGAAGTCATGGGAGAATTTTAAGCTAAAGGAAGACAAGATTTCTTTCATAATCTAGTAAGGTTGTTGTATGGGGACTAGATTACGGAAGGTGGGAGTGAAAGCACTAGCAAGGTGAAGAGGAGATAGTAATTTAAACTAGAATGGTATCCATGGAAAGGAAAGCATGAATTTAGGATGTGTTCAGGAGGTAGAGCTAACAAGCCTTGCAGTGGTTTGGGTGTGGGGTGGAGGATGCTGAATGAAAGCCCATCTTTGTTAATGACAAAAAAGACTGGATAAGAACAGCCCCAGGCATGTAGGCAGTCCAGGATACCAGTGGTTGTGTTGTTTAATGGGGAGCAGGGTCATTTTCCTTTTCTTGATAGTCGAGTCTCCAGCGAAGTTGGATACTATTCTATCTGCATGCTGACAGATTCAGAGAAGGTGACTTAAACATGGAGCTTGGCAGTGAAACAGGCTGACTAGAATATGGCACTTGGATGGATTTTATGGTAAGACAGGAAAGAAGCTTTACAATAGCGGAGGTGGAACCACAGCCCGATGGGACCTAGAGTTGTTGAGAAACAGCAACTGAACCCACACACGGATGGCATCTTAGCTAGCACTGAGCAAGCACAGTCAGACAAAAACCCCCTCCAGCCTTTGACTTTGCCACCCAGCCTTTATTTTCCTCAAAGTTCCCAAACCTCCCCAGTCACCGGCCTGTAGCCACTCACCATGACCACATTCTGCTTATCTTCATGACTGAACGAGAGGCTCCTGTGACTGATTCCTGCCTTCCGTCCTTCCATAAATGTATATTTGCTGCTATGCACCAGGCGTTGTGTTTCTGCTTCCAAGAAGCTTAGAGTCTTATTTCTGCACTTCCTAAATAATCTGTTGATATCATAGGGTACCTATTGCAGTGCCATTTCTTCAGCTTCCAAGTCCCTGACTCTATTCAGCCATACATGGGCAACTGAGAACATGGTGTTACCCGTGATTTATTATTTTAAATTTAAAAATTGTAATATGAAACACAAAAAGGTCCATAAAGCAGATATTTATAATGATTCATTGTAAAGTGAACAACCAGGTAGCGAGCTCCAGAAATAGAATAATATAACCATCACCCTACTACCTTCCATTTCTGCTTTTCATGTGTGGGGTTCACTTTAGCAAGACTGGCAGTGGAGTGCAGGGAACATGGGAAGGACATCTATCTTGCAACAATAATGCCATAGAGCTATCTTTGGTTCTTCTTCATGTTTTGGTTCGTGCTGAGGCTTCTGTCTTTCTCCAGCCTCTGAGGTTCATACCTGGCATGACTCTGAGGGCTGTAGTTTCTTTCTTGAACTAGGGTCTTGCTGAACTGGTAGGAGATGAGTGCCTGAAACTCCCAGGTTAAGAATTCATACCCTCTTTGGCTTGAGCCAAGATTGGCACCATCTCCAGTAAAGAGCGGTTAATAGCGTGTCATATGGTTAGTATGAAGAGAAGTTTCTGTAGATTTCTTCTGAGCTGAAGCCGGGAAGCTATCCCCACGGTCAGTTCACACAACACATTAGGTTCTCAGAAATCTCTCAGCTCTGCAGCAAGTTTTCTACTCACACACATTTTTCATTGTTTTAAAGGGTAAATAATGCTTTTCTGGACCGACTCCAAGGCAAAAGTCAACCAGGTGGCCTCGAGCAATCTGGAGGCTGTTGGAATATGAATAGCGGTAACAGCTGGGTGAGTTTTTTCTTTTCTCTTAAAAAAATCATCTTTGAATGTTGAAGAATAAAAACAATGAGAATTTTTAATATATGTTTTGGCCTTCTCCCCAGATATTATGTTTTTGTTGTTGTTATGCTGTTCAGCAGTGTGATGGGCAGTCAGCCAGGGGGATTACTGTAAATTCCACAATAGCTTCTGAGAGAGGGAGAAAGTCCTGATTTCAGCTCTGGCCAATCACAATAAAAAATGACACCTGCCCTTTGTTTTCAGCATGATTGCCTGGACTCTAAGGCTTTTTATCATCCCTTGCCCAGACCTACAAAAAAACAAATGAACATTTTTTTTTTTCAGAAAGATTTTAAATGAAATATGGTTATAAAAATAATAAGCATTCTCTAGTAATACATTCTTTCAGTCAAACTAACACATCAAAGAAACCAGTAGTTAATTTTTCACTACAAAATGATTTTTTAAAAACCCTATAGCAAAAGGCACTTTTAAAAAATGAAATATCCTTACATATTTCTGTGATGAAAACCTTGCAACTGTGTTGTAACATGTGTTTAATGTATTTTGTGTGCACAATATATTATTGAACGAGCACCAAAGCTTTGGAATATATATAATTGTGAGGTTTGCAATGTGTATAAAATAAAAAACTGAAGACCATAGGCCTCACAGTTTAATTGAAGTCCAAGTGCGTAACTGCCTTCTCTCTCTCACACTCACTCCCTTTATATACACACACATCAGATAGAAATCTGTAAACTGGTGAAAATACAACAAAATAATCAAGTGCTTGCTGACCTAGAAAGTCTAGAGAAGATCTTCCTTTAATAAATACTCGACAGACCAACGATCATGTTTGAGAAGTCAATCTGTTAGAAATCTTATAGCATGTACCTTTGAAACACATCTAGTAATCTAGTAGTTTAAATGGATGAATGGATTTTATAAATGTATACATATTTAAGATAATTGAACATAAGCAAATTTGCAGAGAACGCTTCCTGGATGTATCTATTTATCCCTAATATATGCTCATTTGTTACACTCTGGCATTCAGAATAGGGACAGTATGGAACAGAGAAAATAACTGAAACGCAGGATCTTTGCATTGTGCGATGCGATGTACACATACTGTCTTGTAACAATATGTGAGTAGGAGTCATGTGGAAAATGGGCCATTGTGAGTTGAAGACATTATCCAAGCTTGTATAACTTAGTTGTGAAACGTGATTGGAATTGAGATTTTGTCAGGGCTTGGAAACACGCTGTATGGTTGTCATTTCTTCTCTATGGAAACGCTCTTAAAACTTAGAAAGTATCTATCTGCGGCTGAGGGGAAGATGATGGGAGGGCGTAAATGGATATCACATAGGCTTCTGAGGACGTGAGGATGTGGCAATCTGGCTCACCAATGACTATTGGCAGGCCTTGGTGAGCCACAAATCTCTGCTTAGATTCCTCACAGATCAAAGAGAGGAGCATTGTTTTCTCATGATGTAATAGCAAAGATGATTGGGTGAAATTTTTAGTAGGATGGCCATATCCAAGACCACAGGGCTTATCAGTGTTTTCCTTACTTAAAAGAAGCAGCAAGAGACATCTGGGAAGTTCCTCAGGCGCCCACCTTCACCTGTATTGACCTCCAGACATCTGCACTTCTGTGCTTGCTTTGCTTTGTGATTTATCTTCTCCACCTCCTGGAGGACTTTGTTCTAATAATACTCTCTCCTCTCTACTGAATTGCTGAATGTTCCATCTCAACTAGAACACTTCCATCAGCATAAAATATAAATCAATTATCAATTCTGTTGATAGCACATTTCTGAACTCTTGCTACTGCCCTGTTTCTCTGTCCTCCTTCAGACTAAAACGTTAAAAGGTGCCTATCCTTGCTATCTCTAATTTCTTTATTTTTTCTTAAACCCACTCTTATCAGGTTTTAGAATCTACCCATCAAAAAGAATGTTCTTTTCGTGGTCACTAAAAGTGTTCACATTGCAAAATCCAACGATTATTTCTCAATCTTCATCTTTTGACTGCTCGCCATTCTTTGTCACGGTGAATCACTCCCTCATCTTTGAAACCGTTTCTTTACTTAGCTTCTGGGACACTGTACTCTCTTGGGTTTTCATATACCTCTGTGATAACCCCTTTTCATTCCTCTTTGCTGAACTCCTTGCGTCTTCCTGCCCTCTCAACAGTGAAGTGCCTCAGGGATCTACTTTGGACCACTTTCTGAACTGATGTTCACTTAATACCTTGATGACCTCTTTCATTCTTACGAAATTAGATGCTCGCTATATGTTCATGACTCCCAAGTTTCTATTTCAAGCCCAGACCCCTTCCTCCAAACTCCAGACTTGTGTACCCAGTTGCCTACCCAACACATCTCTACTTATCCAAGGTATGTAATACACATTTCAGCCTTAACATGTCTAAAACCTCACCTTTGATCCCCTTTACCCCAGTGCTTTATCTGCACATTTTCCTGTTTCCATAATGGTGCAATCTCTCTCTCACACCCACACAGCTAGCCATCAACAAATCCTCTTGACTCTTCCTTCCCAATACATCCAATTCAACAGCTTCTCACCATCCTCATCATCATTATCCTGCTTCCAGCCTCTCTCAGTGCTCATCCAGATACTTGCAGTAGTCTCCTAGACGGTTTCCTTCCTTCCACAATTACTCACCTACAGTCTGTTCTCAATACAAGAGTGACAGAAGTCAGATTCTGTCTCTGCATACCCCTCCAATGGCTTCCACCACCCCCCCAAATCACTTTTAGTAAAAGCCAAAGTCCTTCCAGCAGCCTACCAGGTGCTGCATGATCCAGACCCCTTCTTAGGCCTCTGGCTCTCCTTCTTCATTTCTCTCTAGCCACACCAGCTTTCTTGCTGAGACACTGGCTGCTCTGTCTATACTATTCTCCATAATATCCATATGGTTTGTCCTCCTTCATTTACTTTCTTGAATTCCACGGTCTCAGTGGTTATTTTGGCATCCTAGTTAAAGCTGCTACCTGTCCTCTCACTCTGGCTCCTGCAGTTCCCTTTCTAGGCTCCCCTCCCTTTTTCTACAGCACTCTTCAACTTCTAAGATACTTTTAAAACATAATTTCCTTGTACGTTTTGTTGACTGTTTACTCTTCACCTCTCCCTGTGGTGATTGATGTATGTTCCACGTTCTACAAGGGCGGGGCCATTGGATTGTTGTGTTCACGGACGTATCCCAGGCATAAAACAATAACTGGAACTTACCGCACACACAAGGAAACAAGTGGTTGTGATTCAACATCACAAACACGACAGACAGACTGAGGGCCAGATGATTTCGTTTGCTAAAATGATTAGATACTGAATTTAAAAAACATTTGATGAAATAAAAATTGGATTTGAAATAATGAGCAAAAAATAGGCGACAATGAAAGACAACCAAGCAGACTTGAAAAAGAATTAGACCAAAATGCCATTTCTTATCAATTATTTGGCAAAAAGAACCCTAAAAGACTGACGATATACTCTGTTGGCAAGGCTGTGGGGAAAAGGGTACTTTATACATCATTGGTGGACATGCAAAGTGATACAAACACTATCAACAGCAATGTCGTACTGTCTTCCCATTAAACAAAGACCAGGCCTGTACATAGTAGAGCAAAATTCTATTAAACGTTCAAGGAACAAATTATTTCAAATGTCTAGAAAGTTTTTCTGATTAAAAAGAAGGAAGTATTATCCAAAATGAATAAGCAGGTAAATGTGACTTTGAATTAAAATTAGACAAAGACTGTATAGAAAAAAAAATAGACTCAGTATCACTTATAAACATAGATTCCAAACAATCACAAGATTTTGACAGGATAAATATGAAAAAGCATAACATACCCTGATGAGATAGGATTTATGCCAGAATTGCAAGCTTGGCTTATTGCAAACAAAACAAAAAACCTACTGAGATAATTCACCTCATAAATTATAAAAGAAACTCCATATGATCATCTCAATGAGTACAGAAAAAGCATTTGCTAAATTACAATTCTCATGGTAAAATCTTCCAGCAAACTAGGAATAGAAGGGAAATTTCTTTGCCTCATAAAGGGATCAAAACGGTATAATAATAAAAAAACGTTAAAAATATTTCTGTTAAATAAGAGATATAAAGATTGAAAAGGGGGAAAAAACCTTTATAAATCACAGATGATACAATTATTTATGTAAAAAATCCAAAAGAATTTACATTCAAATTATTAGAAGAAAAAAACGCTTGGCAATGTTGGTAGATATAAGATCAATATGTAAAAACTACATTTCTACACATTAGGAATAAATAAATCTAATTAAAAGATCCAATCAAAGATATGCATGAGCCTTTTTAAAAAATTCTAAAATTGGCTGGGCATGGTGGTTCACACCTGTAATCCCATCACTTTGGGAGGCTGAGGCAGGCAGATCATGAGGTCAGGAGATCGAGACCATCCTGGCTAACATGGTGAAACCTCGTCTCTACTAAAAATTCAAAAAAAATTAGCCAGGCATGGTGACGGGTGCCTGTAGTCCCAGCTACTCGGGAGGCTGAGGCAGGAGAATGGCATGAACCCAGGAGGCGGAGCTTGCAGTGAGCTGAAATGGCTACACTGCACTCCAGCCTGGGTGGCAGAGCAAGACTCTTTCTCAAAAAAAAAAGAAAAAAAGAAAAAAAAAATTCTAAAATTTTGTAGAAAGATACTGTGGAATAAATAAATGAAGAGTTATACCTTGTTAATTGATAGGAATGAGCTCTCAAATAAGTTATAGATTCAAATAAATTGTAATCAAAGCAAAGAACCAAGAGTAACCAATTCATTCCTAAAGACAAAGAAGTATAGATGGGAACTTAATTGTGTATTTAGTGTGGTATGCAATTGGTACCAGCACACCCAACATTTCTGAATTTTTAAATTTTTTTGTATGAGAGAAGGGGTAGAGCACATCACTGGGGGAAAACAGACTCTTCAACAAATGCTGTTGGGACGATTGAGTACTTACATGGAATTAGGTCCCGACATAATTCACAACATTTCTAAGTGGATTAAAGCTTCTAAATAGGAAGGAAGACTTTTACGTTTTAGAAAATAAGACAGGCTATTTATAAAATAGAGCTGAGAAAGGATTTTGTAAGACCCAAGGTATAAACCAAGAAAAAAAAAAAAAAAGTAACTGTACCTACATTAAATTTTAAAACATCTGTTCATAAAAGAATATCATACAAAAGTAAGAAGAGAGGACATAAATTAAACTTTTATTTAGGACATGTTTTGCAAATAACAAGTGGATGCAATTAATATATAGATTAACAACTTGTATTAATATGTTAGAATTACTACTAAATTAAGGACATGTCACCATTTAAAGACTGATAGATGAGGACTGAGCTTCTCCAAGGAATGAAAGAAGAAAGTTATGCCTCAATTTACAGAGGCTTGGAGGAAATAGCAGAACTAGTAAAAAGTCAGAGCCAGATAGAAAAAGGAAGAAGGCAGAAATTACGATAAAACCAAGCCATGGAAAGAAGCAGTGGCTTCTTGAAATGTCATATAGACACTTAAGCAGTAGGCCCCTAATAAGTGTGTATGTTAGGTGGACTGATTTTTATTTTTTAATGATTGTTAATTTAAATCAGTCTTCTCATATTTCTTAACATATACATTTATTCAATAATTGCTTTTATATGTAAAAAAATACATTTTGATTTTTCTAGGGTCCTCTATTAGTTTTTTTGAGGCACCTAAGGTGGGTCACTTAAACAAATCCCTTTAAATGATATTTCCTCTGATACAGCAGGTGAGGCTCTTTGGGATGCTGTGGAAACTCTTAATCCTATGTCTTCAAGGGCAGTTCAGCATTTCCTATGACCAATGAGGCAACCTGAGATTTTAATTTCCCCAAGTGTTAGAAGAAACAGCAATAGTGTGTATTCCATACATAACGTGGCCCAGCACTGCGGAAGGCTTGATAGAGGTCTCTTGACCCTTTGTACATGGTGTGAGTGGAGACTCATTAGTCTATCTCCCTACCTCAAGGTCCTCTTAGAAGTCACCTTTCTCCTGCATAATACAGCATAACCCTACTTGAGACATTTCCATTTAAATGGCTCTGTTCCACATGTGTTCTTCCTGTCCTAGCTGTAACTGTGGAGGTGGGTGACAACATTTTCGAACTATATTATTTGTGACCTCTGTTAGTCTAAGAACACAGCCAATAAGACATCACTTGACAAACCATTACATTATTGACCAAGACTATTTTGGGAATCAAATGCAATGTGACTTGAAAGAAAATAGTTTCGATGGTCATTTCAGTTGTTAATTTTAAAAAATGGTCATTTTAGCTTGATGCAGTAAGAGCGTTCTTTGCAGGAACTTCATTTTTGACTACATAGGCTTTGACTTTTATTTTGCTGCTTGTGGTTATTTTCGTTTTCTTTTTCTTCCAGGGTATATGAGAAAATATTGACTCCTATCTGGCCTTCATCAACTGACCTCGAAAAGCCTCATGAGATGCTTTTTCTTAATGTGATTTTGTTCAGCTTCACTGTTTTTACCTTGATTTCAACTGCCCACACACTTGACCGTGCAGTCAGGAGTGACTGGCTTCTCCCTGTCCTCATTTATGCGTGTTTGGAGGAGCTGATTACTGAACTCTTGTAATCTCTACTGCCAGGGAAATGCTACATTATTTTTCTAATTGGAAGTATAATTAATGTTGGTAAGGTAGAAAAAGAGGAAGTCGCTTGATGCTTTCAGGTTAATCAGAGCTATGGGTGCTACAGGCTTGTCTTTTTTTTTTTTTTTTTTTTAGCAGTTTATTTATAGCTCATTTCTGGACTTAAACTCTCTGTTTCCAGAACCCCTTACATTTTCTGCCCCATGAATTCTTTTTTTCTTTATGAAATATTTTTTTTTCTTTTTTGTTATACTTTAAGTTGTAGGGTACATGTGCACAACGTGCAGGTTTGTTACATATGTGTACATGTGCCGTGTTGTTGTGCTGCACCCATTAACTCGTCACTTACATTAGGTATATCTCCTAATGCTGTCCCTAATGCTAGCATTAGGCTTGTCTTTCTAAGTGACACATTCTTATCTAATTCTCAGATCAGGTTTTGGAAAGCTTGGGGGTCTTTTTAGATTTTAATCCCTACTTTCTTAATCTGCGGTACAAATATGCACAAAAGAAAAATGTCTTATATTCTTTTAAACAAGTTTATAAATAAATTTTGAACTACTCTTGTACAAATCGGTCATTTTTATTTTTAATGAAAAGTTATTGGGGTTTTCTCTCTTGAAGGGCCTCCTTTTAATTCCCCTTTCCCGGCCATATAGATGAAATATAGTACTGTCATGACTGTTGGCTCTTGTTTGGGTCTTGACTTACTAATAGTGTTACCGTGATTTTCAGAGGGGAACAGTTTATCTCCAGAAAGGCCAATGTTTGTATACAAATCAGCTAGACACAAATATAGACATCATATGTGGTTTGTAGGTGTTTCAGAAATTTGTTTTTTCTTTGCTCTGTGCAACCTATTTCCTACTGCTAGTTAGTTCGCTTTCTTATTCACTTCTGTGACCTTGAACCAGTTCACAGACCCTGGAGTGTAAGAGTATTGATTTTCTATGCTGTGCACTCTAGCTTAGTCCCTCTGTCCCCTCCGCCTCACCATCCCCCAGCCACCACATTGTATAGCGAAAGCATTGTATTCAATCCTAGAATAAAGGTAAACACAACAAATCATCTTTGCAGCTGGACAACCAATAATACTTTGCGGCATTAAGAGATCTTCTGTGTTACCAATCACTCTGTTGAAATGAACTTTCCAAATCTCTTTATTCAGGAAAACATGGGGATTTGAAATTCTTGGGCCAAAATACATCACTGAGGGGTTCACAGAGCTGGGCAAGGGTGCGCTAGGAAAGCGCCACATTGATGGGTGGGAGGTGACAGAGAACAGATGGTGTCAGGCAATGTCTCTGGAGTAAATAATGCAGATATTCTTGGTTGCGTCTCCTCTGCCAGATGAAGCTGTGTTCATGCTGTTGACATTAATACAAAATGTTTGGTCCATTTGAAATCCTTGTCATTGCCTTATATGGGGGAAACTCAGTCCCCCAGCCCGTGTTGGAAACATCACCAAACTGATTGTCAATGTACGGCTGTAGCAGACATTTTACTGTGATGGCGTGCAGCCATTTTGGCCCTACACCTGCCGGCCTGGCTACCTTACGGTTGTGTTCGGATTTTTGTGTCTCTGCTTGGTGTGCCTCACTTGCTGCATTTTCCAGCATGCAACCAGGAGTTCATGTAGGAAAAAGGTATGCTTTCTTACTTTGGAAGCTCTCAGGGAAGTTGGTGTCAGTTTCTCCTCCACTGCCTGACCTACCCCCCACTCCAAGATTTTGTGCAAATGTGTAGTTCTATCTTTTAAAAATTGTGCAGATATGGAAACTTGTGACTTCATGACCAAAACTATCTAGAATATGTGTGGGGGTGTAAGCATCTTTCTTGATCAATTATCTATGTAGGCAGAGGTAACCAGGAAAGAAGCAAGAGTTGCTGCCTAAGGGAGCCCACCACTTTACTTTTCACATTTAATCTGCCATGTTGAATCAGCTGGAATAAAACCTGACTCGTAGATAACTCTGGACAGGAAATCCCAAAGTTCCACCATTTCTATACTTAATTTTAACATCCCTTTTTTTTTTTTTTTTGTAGAAAATAAAAACAAGAAACAGATCATTCCAATGTAAGGTGTGTGTTATAGAAACCTTAGGCAATGCAGATGTGTAATAAAATATTTAATAAACTTTTAAACACCTTCGTGTTTGGATTTATCACTTTTTCCTTTGTGTTTTATTCTTAGTATTATGTTGATAGATCTTAAAAATTGCAAAGCAACAACCTCTACCCAGTGGCCTATTTTAACAAAATAAAGGATTTCCTCTACTACTGGGCTTAGTTATATTATAGTAGATAGGCAGATAGGAGCCGGCCAGGAGAGACCCCCCCGCCCCACCACCAGGAATGTCAGGCAACCATCAGGTGATGGTCAGCCAAGTGTTTTTTGTTGTTTCTTTTCTTTTGAGACAGAGTCTCACTCTGTTGCCCAGGCTGGAGTGCAGTGGCACGACCTCGGCTCACTGCAACCTCTGCCGTCCGGGTTCAAGAGGTTCTCCTGCCTCAGCCTCCCAAGTAGCTGGGATTACAGGCACCTGCCCGCCAGCACACCCAGCTCATTTTTGTATTTTCAGTAGAGACAGGGTTTTGCCATGTTGGCCAGGCTGGTCTCAAACTCCTGACCTCAGGTGATCCACCCGCCTCAGCATCCCAAAGTGCTAGGATTAGAGGCATGAGCCACGGCACCCGGCCGGTCAGCCAGTTGTTAAGCTGACTCTCTAAAATAATAATTGGTTGCAGCCCGTGCCAGGGAAAGGCAGTCTCCCAATAGATAGGAACACCTGAAACTGGTGGTCAGCAGCTTCTGATAAGATCTCAGGATTTGGGCGAGAAAGCTCAAGCATGTGCATTAAGAGGCAAAATGGCAAAGTTTAACTGATACATGACCTTCCAGGAACGTTCAACTGGTAAGGGAAGAACGTCTCAAGTAAGTATATGCACGACTCCAGTAAACACATTGGGCTTGCGGTGCCTCCCAAGTGCTGGCCGGCCACTGCGCATGCAGACAGCCCACCCCAAGGAAATCGTTGGCCCCAGAAGACTGCCAACATATAAAACCCCAAGTCAAAGGCCAAACCATGTACCCAATCTCCCAAGTTGCTCACTTGGCCTTCTTCCAAGTGTACGTGACTTCCTTTCATTCCTGCTCTAATTTTTTTTTCCGAGACGGAGTTTCGCTCTTGTTACCCAGGCTAGAGTACAGTGGCTCAATCTCGGCTCACCCAACCTCTGCCTCCCGGGTTCAAGCGATTCTCCTGCTTCAGCCTCCCGAGTAGCTGGGATTACAGGCATGTGCCACCATGCCCGGCTAATTTTGTATTTTTAGTAGAGACGGGGTTGGTGAGGCTAGTCTTGAACTCCTGACCTCAGGTGATCCGCCCGCCTCGGCCTCCCAAAGTGCTGGGATTACAGGCATGAGCCACTGTGCCAGGCCTCTAATACTTTTTAATCAACTCTCACTCCTGCTTTAAAACTTGTCTCAGTCTCTCTGCCTTATGCCCCTTGGTTGAACTTCTGAGGAAGCAAGAATTGAGGTTGGGGCAGACCAGTACGGATTCACTGCTGCTAACGGTTGTAGATAATACAGGTCAGGAGATCTTATTCCATTCACAGGATAGGCCTGAGAACTCACATTTTTTGTACATGTTTTGTATGTTTTCACACTAGAGACATTTCTTGTGGTCCCTAAATACTTTATGTTCAAAGGAAACGTTGCATTTTTTTCTTTAGATTGATTTTTTAAAAATCAAGAAGGCCACATATTTAATTTTGAGATTTGGTTGTCTTTCAGAAAGTATCTTTAGAAAAATTACGTTGTAGTTATAGTAAATGTAGACATATTTTGAAGTAAAATCCTTGACATTTATAAAGCCGAAAAATTCAAGTTAAAATTCAAATTTCTGTGATAACTCTGGCTAAAAACTTCTAATTTTTAAAAACATGTAATCATAAAAACAGTGCCTACAAGCTCAATTTTAAATTTCAGGGTATTAAGCAGATAGGTTGTAATTAGCTGGACTTGTTTGTCCAGCTATGAGAGGACGTGTTTGGAAGTGTGGCTGCCAGAGGAAGGAAAAGGAATTGTGTTAGAACTATCAGCAGATTGAAGAAAATAGAAAGTTGTGGGCTCTTCTTTTTTAATAACTCAGTGGACTAGCACATCTAGAAACTAGCGCCGTGCTGATGTGCATGAAATAATATCGGAGTGAGGTATAATAACATTTATATATGGAGAAAGAATATACCTCTCCAGTTACCATGAGGATTGCAGAGAGAATAAATACATATTAGGCATTCCTTTAAGGAAGGGGCTCTGATTTGGAATTCCTCCCTCCCTTTAAAAATATTCCCTTGTTTAACAATAGAGTTTAAAAAGGATCACAGAGGATTATTATTTTTTTCTGCTTATAGAATTACATGCTCAAAAGTGAAGGTTTTTTTTTTTTTTTTTAAGCCATATAAAGGCATATGGGAGAAGCATTTTCATGACATTTATTGCCATGTTGTTGTGCCATCTGCTGGGACAGAGGCTATAGGGAGAGCTGTACTGCAACACGCACCTCCCCTAGGAAGCTGATTTATTACAACCCCTTTGCTTTGCTGCTCAGCTGTAGGGCATGTGGTCCGAGCAGTCCTTCTCACCGTCCCTGGAGGACACTGACCACAGCTGAGCTGAAGGAATCATCGTCAGTCATCGGGGGGTGACATTTCGTTCTCTACAAAACGTTACACCAGTGACCGCCACCAGATTATGAACTGATTAGAAATTTCTATGTTTTAGAAAGCATAGTTGAGCTAAAATGAGTAGAAATTGTGCTTTAGTATAGAGAGAGCAGAAACTGATGGGAGAGGGATATTTGAAATTGGACATTGTAAATTAAAAAAAATCAGAAATCAACATTTAAATATATGTCTAGAGTTTGTTTTAAATGTGGCACAATGAAGACACAAAGTTAAGTGGTACAGGTCCTGTCCTTAGGCAATGGAGCGGTCAGAATAGGCTAGGTTATGGTGACTACAAAAAGCAGCCCCCACTTCTCCTTGGATTAGCAACACTTGTTTCTTGCCCATGCTGCACTTCATGCACAGGTCAGCAGAAGCCTCTGCTCACCTTAGTCAGTCAAGGACTGAGAAAGGCTCTGTTTGTTCTTATGCTTTCCATACACCAAGAGGAGGAGATGGTGGCAGTATTCTGTGCGAGGCGATGAAATGCTTTCTCCAGGAAATGACACATGCTACTTCCATTCACATGTCATTGGCCTGAACAAATCATGTGGCTATTCCTAATTTTAAAAGTGTGGGAAAGAAAATCCTACAATTTTCTGCAATGTACAAAGGAGGAAGAGAACAAGAACATTTGTAAATAACCCGAATTATCCCCAGAAGGAACACACTCTGCAGTTGAAGAAGGAAGACACAGACATATGAAAGCTTAAGATCAAAGACACAAAGAAATATAAAACAATAGCAAAAACCCAGTTCAATTCAAACTCTAGTAAGGAACTAATATAGGCCAGGCACTGTGCTAGGCATGGAGACTACAATATTGTACAAACCAGCCACTAAAGAACTCTAGTACGAGTCACACACACACACACACACACAGAAAGAGAGAGAGAGAGTGTGGGAAAAATGAGATAGAAACTATGCAAAGCAATGAGACAAGAAACATAACACAAACAGCTTTTGGTACCATATCAAGTAGCTTGAACTTTTAAAAGGTTATAAGCAGGGCATGGACCTGATTAGATTTAGCTTTTTATTTTAAATAAATCATGAGTGGACCCAAGAAAGATAGGTTTGAGGGAGGAAAGCCCAGAAGCAGGGCAATCTGCTAGAAGGCTGGAGGTGATTACATCAGTTCAAGGTGACCCATGATGAGAGTCCTGAGCTAGAGCCGTGAGAGTATGGATGAGGACAAAAGAATGAGCATGTGTAATTCTCAGGATATTAAAAAACAGGGGACTTTGTGAATGACTAGATATAGATGGAGACTGACGAATCGAAGATGAGTTTCATATTTCTAGCCTGTGTAAATACATTGATGGTGATGTAGCCATAAAGACAAAATTTGTAGTATTTCAGAGGAAGGGAGATTTGGTGTGGTCAATAAAGAGTTTCAAAGACTATAGAATAAAATTCCATGAGCTCAGGGACATTGTTTTGTTCAATGCTGTATTCTCAGTTTCGTGAACGGTGCCTAGCACGTAGTAGTGATTCAATAAGTATTTGGTAAATGAATGGATTTGATAAAAGAGGAAATTTTTTACAGATGGAAAGAAATAAGTATGGTGGTGGTTGGTGAAGGATTGGGTGCAGGGACATTTAAAGCAAGCCACAGTGATGCAGTGATGGTGGTGAGCATGTGTTTAGGGGACATTGAGGAGGGAGAATATAGAGGCTAGAGTAACTCCATCTTGTATACTAATCTGATATGTTGACTTCTGATTAATCCCAGTTCTGAAAATGCCTCTAAAATTTCTATTTTATCTACTGTTAAGAGTGTGTAATTAAATAATTCCTGCCCTTAAGTCAAAATAACCTTGATGTTATCGTAAACACATACATCTTCCCCTTAGGCAAATTCCCTATGATTTGTAAGCCCTGGGTCTGTGGGGTAACAGTGTAGTGTAGGGATCCACCATTCGCAGCCACTTGAGATATGGCTTCTGTTCATAAATCCCTATTAAGTATTTCATTCTGAGAATCTGGAATTGTCAGCTTCTTTCTTCAGCTCCTCACCTTCCTTGGTCTTTGGGAGTAGGTTTTTATAGGTCTGCTCACCTCAGAACACACACACACACAGAGACAGAGAGAGAGAGAGAGAGAGAGAAGACTAGTGTGGTTGCTGCTCGGAAGTGGGAGACAAGATATAGGAGAGGAGAAACACCCTGGAACAGAACTTCTCTCAATGTTTTGGAATTTGTCCCAGTTAATTGGCCAACCCCAGGTGTGGTAATCGAGGATAGAAAGATTCCTGGGATAAGGATATCATATTAAGCTAATCAGTTATGAATAGCCCCAAGCCCCGCCAATAGCAGCTGCTGATGCAAACCAAAGGGCTGGCTTTGCCCCTTTACAGGCAAAAAGGGAGTTGGCAATGCCTGTCCTTTAATCCCTGCAGATGGTTAGCAATGCCATGAGCCATAGCATTTTG